GATTAAATGGAATAGTATCCCACATTCACCTGGACAAAGAGAACTAAACGAGGTCTTAGCCCCAGTGGGGAAGAGGGGATTAACTCTTGACTAACTGGTGCTTTCATCCCATGAACAAAGCTTAAAAGCAAAACCTAAAAAGATCAAACCATTTCCAAGTATTTGAACCACATCCCAGAACAAAGCTTAAGGATATGCTAAGTAAAAAAAGATATTCAACACCCAACAAGATAGAATTCAAAATGTTGGGCATTTGATCAAAAATTACCAGGCATACAAAGCAGGAAAATCTAAGTCATAAGAAGGAAAGAAAAATCCTTTGAAATAGCCTGGACTTGACACAGATGGCAGAATTAGTAGACAAGGACATTTAAAGTTATATGTTGAAGAAACTAGAAGACAGAGTGAATATGTTGAATAGACATGAAAGTTAGAAAAACCCAATAGGATGTCGAGAGTTTAAACATCTATTTCTGAAATAAATATACTAGATAAGGATTCACAGCAGAATGGGCATTGCAATAGGAATGATAGGTGAACTTGATTGTATAGCAATAGAAACTTTTCTCAATTCAAACACAGAGAAAAAAATGAAAGGAAATGAATAGCATGAGTGAGCTATGGAACAACTTCACATGGCCAAATACACGTTTAAGTGGAAGTCCTGAAACAGCAGTGGCGGGAGTATAGAAAGCAGATTTGAAGACATTTGCTAGTGTTCCAGTTCCAGTAAGGGCAGAGGGATGCACATTGGATGAGCCCTTCTGCCAATAAGAATTATAAGCTCTTGGTGTAATGATTTTTAAAAAATTGTTTAGAGAGCAACCAGAAAGAAGCAGGCAGAAACTGTAGGGAATACAAAACTTGAACAAAGGGAAGCAAACTAGAGAAGCTCTGGAGTCCACCAGCGTTTCCCTAGAGCACTTCTTGGTTTATCTTAGAGTATTGAAAAAAGAGCTTGAGCAGAAAGTAGGTTTTTTTGCTGGGATGAAAAAACAGAAGTCAGAGTTTAAGACTACCAAAGCATCTGTAATTTGAGCAGGGAGCTTCAAAAAGATTTAGAGTGTAAAGACAATGGAGCCTCAAATTCTCTTTTCAAATTTCTCAATCCAGCGCTCTGCTGCAAGAAACCCAAGAGAAAACAGCATCAGGAGTACGAAAGAACTGAGCAGATTTCAGAAGCTGCGTAGCGCTGAGTGTTCAGTGTAAATCCTGCTGTACTAGAGAGATTGATATATACCTCAAATTTTGAGTTGAAACTGCTAAAGAACCATAGTTTAGGATCAAGGGCTGCTCCAAGACCAAGGGCTAAACTAAATCCTCTCCAATACAGCCCATGTGCAAACTATCATAGGATCAAGAGGAAGAAGAAAGAAAATGTAACTATAATCAACAGAAGAAGCATTAGTACAAGCAGATCTGTGCATGACCCAGATGTTAGAATTGGCAGGTCAAGACTTTACAGTTGAAATAAATGTTAAAGGAGTCAGAGGAAAAGATAATTGAATACATGGGGAACTGTCAGCATGGGAAGAGAAACTATGAAATCAAGTGCAAATTCTAGACCTAAAAAAAATCTAAAATGAAATTTTCATTAGATCTCAACATTTTTAACAGATAAAAATATTATCACTAAATTTGAAGACAATTCAATAGAAATTATTGTAAGAAGCAAAGAGAACAAAAGGATTAAAGCAGAGAGCCTTTGGTGACCTGTGAAGCAATATCAAGTGCTTGGTGTGAGGAGTGTGTGTGTGTGTGTGTGTGCGCGCGCGCATGCATATGCATTCATGTGTGTATTTAGAGTTCCAGAAATAGGGGAAAAAGAATGGAGTCTGGAGAAATTTGATCTAATAATGTCTGGTATTTTCCCAAATTTGGTGAAAAACATTAACCCATAGATCCAAAATCCTAGCAAGATAAATATAAAAACCAAATCCAATCACTTCATAGTCATAGTGAACCTGCTGAAACCAAACATGCAGTTCTTAAAAAGAATCAAAGATAAAAAGGCAAGAATGATGGCTGACTTCTCATTTTAAGAAAATGGAGGACACTGGACAGTAAAGTGGCACCCTTGAAGTGCTACTAGAAAGGTACCGTGGTGCATGTATTATATCACAGTCCCAGCGTGGATTTAGGCAACATCCCATAACCGTATGCTCATGTGAGATCGACAGAGACTGGACTGTAGCCTCACTTCATTCAGCTCAGTTCAGGTTTTGCTGCCCGATGACTTTTTGTGCCAGAAGTTTAGTTTAGTTTAGTTTAGTTTAGTTGTTTTGTGTTGTTTTTTAAAGCAATCCTTTTGGTTTCAGAACTTAGATTTTAGAATTAAATAGGAAAGTTTTTGGACCCATCTTGTTAAAACTTAGTGATAGGTATTTTTAGATGTTCACCCTCCTTTGAAGCAAGGGCTTACAAGGATCTGTCTAGTGGAAATATTTAAGCTTGTGTACCAAGTATTATATACCATGATGCTTATGCTAACATTTTTAATAGTTAAAAAAATAGAAAACTACCAAAATCCCCCAATGGCTCACATTTGGTTAAATTAGTTATAGCATGTTTTACACAACAAATGAACTGCTTTGTAGCCATACAGAATCATATTGTAGAAAAATGTTGAATGAGGGGCCGGAGATGTAGCTCAGTGGCACCGTGCCTGCCTGGCAAGCACAGGGTCCTGAGTTCAATCCCCGGTACCGGGAAAGAAAGAAAGGAAAGGGAGGAAGGGAGGAGGGGAAGAAGGGAAGAGGGGAAGGGAAGAATATTGAATGGTGAAATGAATATACATAACAATTAAGGCTGTTTCTTTAAAAAAAAAAAAAGGAAAGCAGATTGATTGATAAGGAGGCTTGTTTTTAAACTTCAGCTCAGATTGCTTAAGTTGGGAATCATTTTATTAACAAAGATCACAAAAGTTCTTCACTATTAAGGCCATATCCATATATCTTCCATATCCCCAGACCTAGTGTCTGCACACCTGAATTTAAAGTGCCTCTTTTAAACTGCACTGCCTGAGGCATTTCCAGAAGGAATCCTGTTAAATGAAAAGTAAGACCTTTCATGAGGGATGCTGAACCATTCCTGTTGCCACATCAAACACTCTCTGGCTTAATCTCTAGAGAACAGCCTTCTCAGATAAATTGTCCACCACCACAGCTAGTTCTTGGCTTGTTTTAAAAAGTCTGCAGATTCTTTCATGAGGTCATTTTTAAAGCTTAAACATCTACTTTGCTTTGAAAATCTATTTTCTCCCTTTTCAAAAAGAGCATAGCAGGAGTTAAAATTGGATCACTTTTTGCAAGCTACATCATACATCTGGAGTGAATTCCAGAGTATTAATGTCACAGTATGTTACAGCAAGGACTGTCAAGTGTAATTTTTGCAGACCTGCTAAATCTGAAAGGGCAGGCTGGACAGCCAGCAGTTTTGATCTTTGAGCTGAGGTATGTTTTCTGAAGTTATTCTTGAAGTCAGAGGGGAAAAGCAAAAAAGCCTGGTCCTACTTGAATGGCGATGTGACCATGATGGGAAACATCTTCATCTTCTACACTGTAGGCTTTTATAATTGGACTTCAGAGTTGGGAGAGGCCTGAGGCCTTGAGTGCAGTTGCTCTCCAAGCACTTAGATTTCTTCTACATTGTTCTGGACAGGTAGTAGCTATTGCATTATTTATAGTCCTGATTGTATTTTTCTTTGTAAATTAATAAGTAGATATTCTAATTTCATATATTAGTCTACATGTTAATATTGGCAAGAATTCACTACTAAAACTATGTGAGCTTGGAATTTTTATTGTAGAAAGATAGTTTATGACAAATTTAGTTTCTTTAATAGATACAAAGTTGTTCATAATGGGTTGGGTTTTTTTAATGCCGGGGATCGAACTTGGGACCTTCTGCTTGGGAGGCAGGCAGCAGCACCATTCATAATTTTTTATATTGTCTTGGGTTCATTTTGTAAGTTTTACTTTTTAAAGAAATTTGTTATCAATTTTTTTCATCTTTTTGAAGAGCCAACTTTTGGCTTTGTTAGTGTTTTCTGTTTTGTTTGATTTCTAGTTCATTGACTTCTAATCATTTCCTTTCTTCTACTTAGTTTGGTCTTATTTTGGTCTTCTTTTTCTAGTTTCTCAAGTTGGAAACACAGGCTCTTTCTTATTTTCCAAGATAGCATATAAGATCATAAATTTCTTTCTAACCACTGTTTTAGCTGCATTTTACAAATTTCTTAAAAAGCTTTTTGAGGTAATATGGTAACTAATATAAACCGTTAAGTAAATAAAGTACACAAATTTGACAAATGTACTTACCTCTCCATGAATCTGTCTCCATATTCAAGATAATGGCCCTATCCATCTTCACCAAAAATTTACTCAGTTCCCTGGCAACCACTGATTAGCTCTTTGTCACATAGATTAGTTTGCATTTTCTAGAATTTTGGATAAATGGAGCTATAAAATATGTATACATTTTGTCTGACTTCTTTCACTCAGAATAATTATCTGACATTTATCCATATTATTGTATCAAGAGTCCATTCCTCTTACCTCTGCAAGAAATTCCTCCCACTGCTTACTTAGGCCTTAGTTGTTCACAGTACCACCAGGGCTTTGTATCTGTTCAGTTCCGCACCATTTGATTAAAACCAGCCTGGACCACCTCTTCCATTTTTCTTACTGTGATCATATTTTTATCTTGGTTAACTACTGACTTTTTAATCTCTAGAAAAACTGAGGGGACTTAACATAAATCTACTTATTAATCCTCTGAAAATGTTTTTATTACTTATACCAATTTAGTGTATTTTAGTTTGGGGTTTTTTGTTTTGGTTTGGTTTGGCTTTTGCAGTGCTGGAAATCAAACTCAGATTCTCACACATGCTAAGCTTCCACTGAGCTACACCTCAAGCCTAGTGGAATTGTTTGAATATGGATCAAATAAACCTAGGTATAACTAAAAAGATATTGAAATGTTTGCCCCTCTTTCCCCAGGTAAAAATGTCTCCATCCTACCATCAGCCCAAAGGGGATCCTGCTCCTAAGAGGGTGAGTTTTAAAGTTTAAAAAAAAAAGCCTTTTCCTTTTCCTCCTTTTCTGGATTTATTCTCCTCACTTGAACAATCTTCTGAAAATGGCAGAGTTATTTAATCATCTTAATACTGTCAGAAGTTCATTCTGATCGGATGCTTTAATGACATGTTGCCAGGACTACTTGGCTGTTCCAGAGAAGCCAAGTGGGGTTTGGAGCCCAGCACCAGTCTCCCGGCAACTGAGGACTGTTGGTGTTTAGAATTCCCATCCTCTCTACCAGGTATGGCAACCTAGTGCCAGTGAGGGGTATTCTATGGGAAAATTATAGCATCTTTTTTCATAATGTGCTTTCCCTCTGGATAGCTATGTCTAAAACACTAGCCAGGGGTATAAATAATTCAGCACATGCCACAAAAGACGTCCTCAGTAAATACCCGCAGACCTGACCTGTCATCTGGCCACTTCAGTTCCTGCCTGTGAACTTTGTAGTGTAGACAGGCTAAGAGTCCCTCACTTCACATGAGCAGTGCTCAGATGACATCGGGAGAACCACTGAGGAAATCCTTTTCCTGCAGCTGCAACACTGCTGCCGAAACATGTAAACAGACTGGTATTTTTACTGTGTCTTCTCTTACCATTTTTTCCTTCACGGACAGTTGAAACGTTTTCTTCTTTTCCTATTTTTTTACAGTTTGAGGCAGCATCCATGTCAGCAAAGGATTGTAGAACAAAAATAACAACTTGCTGGCTCTGGTGACTAACAGCGGGTTTTAGTTTCAAAGCTGTGTGCCAAAACAGGTCCCTTTTCTCTGCCTGTAGAATCCCCTGAGGCTTTTTTCAAAAGCAAAGAATCAGAACAAAATATGTTGTCTGAATAGCCCTGTAACATGCTGTACACGAAAATCTCTTGCACTCTTGTCAAAGCAGCGAGGACAGACAAGACTGAGGCCATGCCTTGCAGAACCATCACGCTGTACTGTGAGGAGCCAGAGGGAGCCCGTGTTCCTCAGCTTCACCTTACTCCAATGCGTGCCTGCCACGGGCTTCTTACGAAGAAAAGCTTTGCTGATTCCTGGGTTTGGAGTTTCAGGTGCAAGATCTGGCGGCCCCGTGGGTTGGGCCTCTGTTGAGAGTGGTGCATAATAGCAGGACGTGGTGGAGTTGGTGGCCTCGGCTGGCGCTCCTCGGTGCCTGAGTGATCCAGTGGGGACTTAAGCCCTTTCGTAAGAGTCAGGACTATCTCTAAAGTATTTCATCCAATCTACATATCTTGGATATCTTTTAATCAGTAAGAGTTCCTTTCTGATATTCACAATACTGATTAAGGAGCCACTAACTGAATGAATTAAAAGAATTTTTTGAGCCAATTTGCAAAATTTTAAGTGTTGGTGAACAAATGAAGAACTATAGGGCTTTTAGTAGTTTGCTCAGGGACTTCTTATTAGCTGGCCACTCCTGAAATAAGGATTCTTAATTAGGGCCACTGACCACCCAAGTTGAAGCCAATCTAAATAGCACATATTTAATATCAGGTTGCTAATGGTATCCTAATTCCTGACGTAATACCTAATAGATGCCAGCGCCAGTGCAGGGGGTCAGGGAGGGCTTCCCAGAGGAAGGAGAGCTCCATCTGGCCTTGAAAAATGAAGGGAAGGTCACCCAGGCAGATGGGGTGAATGCAGCACAGTGCAGGAAAGGGGCGGCTCTGTATGGCTTCAGTATAAAAGCATGAGGAGGTCTGGCCAGAGATGAATGGGGATCCAGATCACAGAGAGCCCCAGTCTGTGATGTTTGCTTTTTATCTTGAGGATAAGGGTTTCCACTAAAGGTAAGTATAAAGGCAAAAAGGCTAATTTAAAAAATAAGTCAGTTGTCTAGGCAAGAAAACAGTTCCTAACCCTAGGCTGTGTTAATGGAATGAAGAGGTGAGATCAGTTCAATATTAGCTACCCCTGCCCAGAAAATTCTTACTTCCTCTCTGCATAAGTATGAAGGGTCCTTCCTTCTTTGAGTTCATAGCACCCTGAACTAGTTTCTATCAACATACTTACCTTGATGTATTGAAATTGCCTCTTAAAAGTACATCTCTCATTAGAGCAAGTGCCTCCTGAGAGCAGGAACTACATCAGTTTTGCTTACTGTTGTTTGTCTAAGTATTGAGGGAAGCAGTCACTCAGTTGTCCTTCAATCAATGAATGAATGAGGGGGATAATGAAAGAGATACCACAGAATTCATGGTTGTTTATGGGAACTGAGGAGAAAATAGGTTTCTGGCACTGATAACTAGAAGAAAAACAGCTGAAACATAGTTGCTGAGACGTGTATTCCCAGCTTGGCTAGTTTCCTACTCTTTGTTCTGAATTGGCAACATTTTGAATGAGATTTACATGAAGATCAACGTGAAACTCAACACCTCCTAGTACCTCCCCACTCAGATATATATATAAATATATGTGTATTTATATATACATATACATACGTATGTATGTTTGTGTACATGTGTGCTCATGTATATGTACCTCTACCGATCCCTGTGTGTGCACATCTACCTGTCTATTCTGGTTCTCATCCTTGAGCTAGAGTTTCTCTTCCCAGAGTTGCATTGACAGATGGAAGCAGTAGTGTGTATTGAACAGTGACTGCCAAAGTTACATGAGTGAGAAACACAAAGGAAGCAGCAGTTTGGTGATCCAGCCAGAGTCCCTGTTGACCCATAACTGAAGGAAGTGTTTGCTGACTTTGCAGTCACCACCAGCCCTTCCAAGAGCTGCTTTCACGTGCTGAGGAAGCAGGAGCAGTGCTCTGAAGGGCTTTGCTAATTTTCTGGGACGCGTGTCTCACATAGCAGTCTCTTTTGAGGACATGACTGTCAGAGGGTATAACACCTTCCACCCCATGTATCTTTTCACAGCAGTTTACCTTGAGATATTTACAAAAGCTCTAGACTGGAAATAGTTATGGTATACATATGTATAGTACACAAAATTTGTATACAATATTTTATGTGTATAAAATCTATTCTTAATTGACTCTGATAACTTTACTAGTAACAAAGTTAGAAGATACACCTACTTCCCCGGGACCTTTTCACTGTTTAATCATGGATGACCAGAAATTTAAAAGTCAGGAAGCACTGCTGTCAGATGAAAATTAACACAGTGGCCCACTACAGTTCGAGCTCTAGATCCAGCTGGGAGGTGTCGACAGTGTTTGAGGTGGATGAAAGGAGTTAGCTGATGGCAGCCTCAAAGACTGCTCGCCTGTGATGCATCTCTGCTCGGCTGTTGAAGAAACACCCGCCAGGGATTTTTATAGTAAAAGTTGGGTCTGTCATATGCATATTCACCAGAGATAGCATTTTGTCTTAAAGATGATCCCAGAAGGCTGGTTCCTTCAGAGACATCTGCTGGCGTGGATTAGCTTTCCACAGTCATGTCTGCACAGTGACCAAAGACTCCTCAAGCCAGTGGTGCCACTGGAATGTCCACAGTTGTTTCCTCAGAGTACCTTCTACTTAGGAACAAAGCACAGGCAATGTGAGAGTGGAAAACTTTTCCAACAGTTCTGTGGTTCCATCTAGTAAATATTCAGCAAGCCTCAGTTAGGTGCCAGGCTTTGGAGGGACCGAAGTCAGTGAAATATATAGTTCTTCTCTTGGCATATCTACACGTTACTGGTGACTAAACTGGTGGATTTAGTAGCCAGGCTTTTGAAAAACTGGTCTTCGGTTTCTTAAATATTCAAGTATAAGAATTTAGAGATTATTTCTCTTATTCCAAGTACTCTGGTGAAGTTATGTTTTTATAACCTAACTCTTAATCTTGCTACTCATGTCAGGAATGCAGACAACTGTACTTGCTTACAATGTTTATTGAATGGCAGGGGGCGGGTTTGGTTTTTGTTTTTACCAGAAAAAGTCTTACCAAGCTACTGTTTCCCTGTTCCCATAACAATAAGAAAGCTGGCTACAGTGTTTCAGCTGGCTGGTCCTAAGAATGGCTAATTGAGAATTTCACAAGTCAAGATAAACGGGAACTAAGGAAAGCACTGAGATAGATGCATCATCTTCTAGCCATCATTTAAATTCGTTTGCCTTTTTGTTCCACCCTTAACTCTTTCCTGCAAAGATGCAAGTCCTCAAAAACAACAAAGGGAAAGCCCTTGATGCATGTCATTGGTTCTCCTTTAGAGTCTTTGTCATAGTAGGACTTTCATCCAAACATGACTTCAGAGCCTTTACTGATCAAAAAAAGGGAGACCAAGGACATATTTGGTCTGTGTTTTTGCATAGGCAAGATTGAAAATCTCTGCAAGTCACGTGCCTTTTTATGCTAATGTGAGGAAGCTGGGGTCTAGTTCCCTTCAGACATTTAGAGAACATGATTCAGAAGAAAGCATGGGTGTTCTTAATAATTGAGAGAACAGAACTAGTACCTGTGGGTAGCCACTATATAGATATTGTTATGAATGTTTTATAATGTGGTAAATTCATTACAGTCGATGCATTTTTATTAACTAAAACCCATGGTTTACATTAGAGTTCACTCTGTGTTGCGTATCCTGTGAGTTCTGGTAAATGTATAACGCAGTGTATCCACCACCATGTGTCATACAGACTGTATCACTACCCCGGAAATCCCTGTGCACCTATCCTCCTTTTATCCTTTCCTCCCTTCTCCCCAAGCTTTTGGCAACTACTGATCTTTTTTACTATGTCCATAGTTTTGCCTTTTCTAGAATGTCATGTAGTTGGACAGTGTGTAGCCTTTGCAAATTGTTTTCTTTCACCTAGCAATCAGCCCTGAAGATTATCAGTACCTTCTCATGGCTTGATAGCTTTCTTTTTTTAATCACTGAATAGCATTCCATTGTCTGGATGTACCAAAGTTTATCCATTCACCTATTAAATGACCAACTTAGTTGAAGACCATCTTAGTTGCGACCAGGTTTTTACAGTTTTAAGTAAAGCTGCAGTGATCATATGTATGTGGGTTTTTGCGTAGACATACATTCTC